TATTTGTAATGCTTGTATGGTGTATTTGATTGAGATTTTGCTGTCATAAAGTAAGCATAATGCATGCTCTTAAGTTTTTGATTCAAAATTCTTACTTAAGTGTTGTAGTTACAAGGCACAAAATTTCTAGTTGTGATACTAAGTTATATTATTGAGATTAAATAATTTTAGAAGGTTAGGTTTTAACCCTATTGCGCAACTCTTGTCCGAGTCCAACCATTGTAGTGTGAGACATTTCATTCGAAAAATTATCTGGTGTTGGTGATATGTAGTTGTATTCGTAAGCTATTTAGAGGGTGCTAGGGGGAGTTCTTTCTGCAACTGATGGCACGGAGTAGTATGGTGGTTACCCTGAAAGAATCTAGGAAGAATGTTTGTGAGATAAGATGTTGGTAGTCAGTAAGCTTGAGAAGCCCTTTGATTGGTCCATGGCTTGGAGTGTTATTGCACAAATGTTGTTTGCTTTGTGCTTTGTGGGACTTTGGGCAGTGTGAGAGATTGTCCTTACTCCTTCGATGGTCACCCAAGTTGCCCACCATCCGTGTCAATTATTTAGGAAATCATTATTTAATCAATTATAAAAACATTCGATATTTGTTATTTTATATCTTTTATTTTAAATTTACTATCCTTGATTATGCTTTATGGAATTGATTAAAGATGTCTTAGACAATGAGCTTTTAAGAATTTTCTTTTAGTTTTATAGTTTTTATCTATAAAAAAAGCACAAGTTTAGTAAAATGATTTTTTCAGGAGTACAAGCTTAAAACTTCTGTTTTTTTTTTTTTATTTATTTATTTATTTATTTATTTATTTTATTATTTTTTTTTATAATTATTATTATTTAAAAAAAAAACTCATGATCCAAAAACTATTCCAAATCACATTAGAGTTTTTAGAAGCTTTTAGATTGATGTTTTATATTATTTTTCATATTTCAAAAACTTGCAATTATTTTTGACAAACATTTTTATACAATAAAAACCATAACTTCGAACTTCCAATTAATTTTACCAATCATATCCATTTTACAATCTACGATGTTGATACAAAGAAAAATATCATTTTTATTCTATATGATGTTACAATTTAGTCCAAATAAACATTTAACTGTAATTTTAATATTTTTTAGATGATATTTTTTTGTATGATAATGTATGTTTTTTTAGAAGGTAGATTAGGTCTTGCTGTTCATACTAAATATCATTGGCTAAGAACACCAAATGTGTCGATATTGTAGAAGAAAATTGTGTAAAAAATTCTCAAGTAGTTGATATTTTTTAGACATATTGTAGAGATAATATATAAGATTCAATGTAACTTTTTTGTTGTTATATAAAGTATATAAGTCATAATGTCTCAACAAAATAAACATTGCGGGAGCCGTGTGGTGGGGAAATATTGTCATCTAGTTACAAGTCGCATGATGCCAGCTACATATCAATTATTGTATTAAAAGAATTTTCTTTTTCTAGAAAACAATTGTTCTATGTGCCACATTTTTAATCTTCTATTTTAATCTTCTATGACTTATCTACTTTATATAATTCATTATAAATGGTTAATGCATTTTGGTAACTATTGGGTATTGATTAGTATTTGTTTTGGTTAATAGTTTTTATATGTTAATGGTTATGGTTGATTGTTAATATTGATTAATCATAATGGTAAAAAATAAGATAGATAAAAATAAAAATACTTTGCTATAAAAAATAAAAAACGTAAAGTACATTGTTATAAAAGGTGAACGATTTAGTGTTTATAACTATATTAATATGATAGAAGATTAGATATCCCAGTTAATTCAAAATATTTACCCATTAAATTTCGAATTCTAAATATAATTAAACACCATATATTTAATATTATACCATATTAAAAATATTTTTTAATATTATTGGTTCTGTTTGGTTTTTAGTGGTTCGGTTTTGGATGAAAACCATAAGTGAACCATATGTATTTGGTTAATCAAAAATAAAAACTACAACACCTTTTTTAGTAATGATTTAATTATTTCGGTTAATTTGGTTTTAATTCGGTTTTTCGGTTAATATGTTCACTCCTACTCTATGTGGTGTGTACCAGATGGCAAATGGTTAATCATTTTCTTTAAACAACTAATACCTACATTTTTAATCAACATTTGTCTATTATATAACTTGAATCCATAACCAACTAACTAATAGACACATTTCCATTACACTTGATACGAATATGTCAAAATTCCTTCGGTGCTAAATTATATTAATAGATAATTTTTTTTAAGGATGTTTGGATTGTTAATAGCGCAAACAAAACATGATGTTAGCAAAGAGTAACACTTTCATATGTCATGTTAGTTGTCACATCATCAAAGATTGTAATGTCAGCATGTCATGTCATTTAACAAACGAATGATCATGTAAATCATCAATATTAAAACAAATTGAAAAACAGAGTGCTCGAATTGAGATAAAAAAATAAAACAATATCAAAATCAAATTTTCATATAAACTTAATAACTTTTGTGGAATTTCTCTTTATAAATATGTATAATTCAAAATTATCATAAACGGTTTAGATTCGATATCATCAAAATCCAACGACTGTAATCATATGTATCAGTTGTCGAAATTTTCATTTATATATAATTGGAGTTGAGTTAATGTAAAACTTGTTTAAAACTTTTGACTAACACTACAATTTTATTTTTTCATTTATTTATTTTTTATTCTTTATCTTTAAGTTGTGTTTGCTATATGAGACATAATGAAAGACGGATAGGAATCAACTGAAGAAGACATCACAACTTATTTATATAATGTTTAGTAAACTAAAACATTAAAGAACAAAATATTATAAATTACCACTTTATCGTTGGGATCCATAAACACACTAATACAAATTAAGCAAAAAAAAAAAAAGAACACACACGTAGCCTCGTTCCTATATTTACCGTTCTATTTGAAGAATTCCTCCCCTACACATCTATTATATTTTTTTACATTTGAAATTAATTCGATAACTCGAAATGATTCTTGTGCGATGAAAGCCGATTTTACTCCCTATGTATTCTTGTCATGCTGGCTGGATTATTTTTTAAAAAATGGGACGCTACATTATAGACATATATAATGACATCAATGATGGGATTCATCATAAAGAATGTAAAATGAAGATCGTTATGTTAAATATGATGAGTAAAAAAGAATGTTGCTTCATGGTTAAGAATGAAAACAACAAGTCATGATTGTTGAAGTCTTGAAGATGATAAATAAAAAATTATTGCATTACTGTTCATTTTGAATAAGGAAGAGAGAGGTGAAGGGAGCCGTGTGAAGACGATGAAAAGATAAGATGGCATTTTTGTCTAAAAATAATTGTACAATATGTATTTAGTCTTGTATATATATTATAATAATATATATTATACTAATTTTTATCATAAATAATAGGAATGGCGTTAATTGTTTAAAAAGAGAATGTGTCGGTGTCCTTTTAATTTATAGTTTTTACAGAAAGTGTAGGCATTGTTTTGTACATCCAATGCATCCCTTTGTTGAATTTGGGGCTCCTTTTCATTCAATTTGCTTTATTGCTTTAATAATGGGGTCTACGATATAAACCACTTTTTGATTTTTCAATACGGATTGTCCATGGGTCACTCTTTTAGAGTCTCGATCCGTTTTGGGTGCTATAAAATAAAATTTAAGTAAATTACACAAATGGTCTAGTTTTTTCTTTTTTAATTATCAAATTTTATTTTCATTAATTGTAACAACGACCATTCTAATGCTTTGGTTTGGTTTTGTTTCCTTTCACATGACTCTCTCACCTTTGATCGCTCATAATGCAAAGAAAAACCAAGAATATAAAGCATAAACCCTTACCTAATGGCTAATGAATTTTTAAAAAAAATCTTAAAACACACAAATTTATCATCAAATTCAAGTAGATCACTATAATCAAGTCCATTGTCACTCCATAAAACAACGATACCGAGTCAGAACACCTCATGTTGACCATCGTGGAACACCAGAAATCAACACTTGTCTTCAGTTAATCCTTATCCAAAAACGTGACAAAAACTAACAAGAAAATTAAAAAATGACATCTTAATTTACCATGTAGTGTTACTAATAACTTGATTGTAGTAAATCGCTTTAAACACTTTCATATTAAAAGAACAAGAAAACGATTCAATTACTCTTACTTTATTTTGGTAATTATAGTAACATACTATTTTTTCTATCTTGCAATAGTTTATTCTAGTCGACATAAAGTTTTCATATCGAATTTACTATTCAAATATAATATGATATTTTAAATTAATCCTTATAATAAAATATGATAACTTTTAAGAAATTCCAAATAGAGAATTTCAAAGTATTGTGTGGTCAAAAAAGAAGAAAGTACGAGAGAATAATAAATTCAACATTCATTTATTATGAGCTAGATTTAGGTGTAAATTTATTGTAACAATTTTTTTATTTTTTTTTTTATTTTTTATTTTTTATTTTTTATTTTTAATCTTATGAGCTAGTATTTTCAAGAAGAAAATATCATTACTTGTCAGTTTAAAAGATTCTACATGTTTTTTCAACCTTTATTAATTAATTTTATATAAAAGTAATGTTCTAGACAATCCATTTCTAACTTCTTGTAGATTATCAATCGATTGATGTTTTATAATTCATTGGTTAAGTGTGGAATAGGAGATTCATTTTCAACATATTTTATTAATCATTTTAGAAAATTTCAGCCATTTAAACAAAAACCAATAATTGCATTATCTCCCAATAATCGAAACTTTTTAACATTATATAACATATGTAACTTTTTGAATTTGAAGTTTATATACGAGTTGTCTCATTAGCAAATAATCTTTTAAAGACAATATCCTTAAAAAAATATCCACTAAATACCAATTCCCCTTTTACCCCTGTTTCTTTCGCAAAAATGGTTGACAAATCATCATAAAAGTAACACTTTTTGAAAAGTTTTCTTGGTGGGGTGTCGTAATTTCTTGATTTTTGGTAGCATGCCCATCTCTTTCGTTCTTTTGTTTTATATAATTTACAAACTTTCTCACTTAAATACTTTTATCTAAAAGATTTTCGTAACTCATAATCCATCATAAATCTATGTCATTCATCTGTACACTCCACAAGTAAAGAAAATTAAATCCCGGTGAAAAGTAGCTTTCTTAATTAAATTAGCATGATTGAATGAAACAAAAAGCTGCAGTTTTGCCTCTGAATATAAAAATCCTTTCCCTTTTGCATTTAATTTTTTGATGACACTATTTTCTTGAAATTGTTACTTCCATTTGATTCACACTGTAAACACACACACACACACTAAAACGCATCAATTACCCTATTTGTCGTTTCTCCATTTTAACAAATTACACACCTGTAGTGAGTAGTGGGTGTGTCCATTACTACTACTCCATGTGGGTTGTTTGCTCATATTTTTTGTCATTTGTTTTCATCGTTTCTTTATCAAAATCAAAATCATTGCATTTTTAGCTCCATAAATACCCCCCCAATCCTAATTTCTTCACTCTTTCCACTATTTTTCCACCAATATCATTATACAACCAACCATTTTCGATCTGGGTTTCTTCATTGCAGATTTGGGGGTGATATCATAACTTCGCCGGAAAAGAAAGATGGCCGGAGGTGGAGGCGGAGGAAAATCCGACGAGCCAGCACCACACCCACCCAAAGATCAGCTTCTTGGTGTGACTTACTGCATTACAAGTCCACCCCCATGGCGTAAGTTTGTTTCATATTAGATAGATGTTCATGTTCCTCTTTTTGAAAAAAAGTTATTTCAGATTCTTTATATAGCAAGTGGGTTGTTCTAAATTAGGTTGTTTTAGGGTTTCTTTAAGGCTCGCATATCTGGTAACCAAATTCATTCTGATTCCTGTACAATCATTCCATGTTTCTTATTTAATTCGAACTTTACCATTTACTTTTATTAATTCCTACAAATATTCTTCGTATCTAGTTTCCAATTTCGTTCTTTATACTTTTAGCATATTCCGAGAAATTAAGGTTATGTTATCCTTTCTTTTTCTGCAGCTGAAGCTATTCTACTTGGGTTTCAGCATTATCTAGTAATGCTCGGCACAACCGTTATTATTCCGACAGCTCTTGTTCCTCAAATGGGCGGCGGAAACGTAAGACATTAAAAAAATTAAAATTAAAAAACATATTGTTAACGCTTCTTGTAATTCAATATTCAATAGTAACGTTTTTTTAATAAATTCTATCAGGAGGAGAAAGCACAAGTCATTCAAACGCTACTTTTTGTTGCCGGGTGGAACACGTTGCTACAAACTTTGTTTGGTACTAGGTTACCAGCCGTAATTGGGGGTTCATATACTTTTGTTGCGCCCACAATCTCAATCATCTTGAATAATAGATGGAATGATCCAGATCCTATAGAGGTGAATCTCTAATGGGTGTTTGAAAATTGAAATACCAAAATTCATCTTGAAATGAGTAAATAGTGATCAAGCAACAAAATCTTGATTTTCTTTCAGAAATTCAAGAAAACAATGCGGGCAATCCAAGGTGCTTTGATTGTTGCTTCAACTCTTCAAATTGTTCTAGGGTTCAGTGGTCTGTGGCGAAATGTTGCAAGGTTGGTTCAAAATTGATTATTATAACTTTAAATAATCATAATCATAATTAAACAATTAGTTCGATTAAATGTTTTTAGAGAAATAAGACTACAAGAATATACGTGGAAAACTCCAAAAACCGGAGAATAACTACGGGCCCACTTTACCTTTTTACAATCTATCAATCTGGGACAAAATCTTTCTTTCATATTACTGTTTTAGTCAACAAATCTGATAACACGGTTTTCGTGTGAGTATTATGACATTATACGATGAGAAATATCAAATTACTCAATAAATGGAATATTTGGATATGCTTTGACCTAATTTTCATTTTAGCTAACAGTTGATTTCTTTCTTTAACATCATTGTAGATTTTTGAGTCCTCTTTCTGCTGCTCCTTTAGTGGCTCTTGCTGGTTTTGGGCTCTATGAATTTGGATTCCCCGGGGTAAGTATAAAAAAAAAAATAAAGAAATCATTTCTTCTCATGATCACATGTTCAGCTAAATACGTGAATTAAACTTGTCTTGTCTTTTTTAGGTTGCAAGATGTGTCGAAATCGGGCTTCCTCAACTCATCTTTGTAGTTGTCTTGTCACAGGTAATAATATTGTCATATTTTAATGCATTACTATGCACTTAATCTGGTAAGCTATATATGAGTTAGAAAGAAAAGAACAACTTAATACAAAAAGTACTAAATTTGGTTTGTTTGGTTTATGTGTAGTATTTGCCTCATTTGATACATTCGGGAAAAGGGATCTTTGAGAAATTTTCAGTTGTGGCATCGATTGCAATTGTTTGGATTTATGCTCATTTGCTTACGGTTGGTGGGGCCTACAATCATACGGCGCCAAAAACACAAACAAGTTGTCGTACTGATCGTTCTGGATTAATCGATGCTGCACCATGGTTAGTTACTTATTACACACTATTAATTTAGCTCTCAAATTTTTTTTATTTAATTTTGTAACGCTTTTTTTTTGTTAATACTTTTAAGGATAAGAATTCCATATCCATTTCAATGGGGCGCACCTTCTTTTGATGCTGGTGAAGCTTTTGCCATGATGATGACTGCTTTTGTTACCCTTGTTGAGGTCCGTTTGACCGTTTGACTTTTTTTTTTTCTTTTTGCTAATATTGTTAAAAGTCAAAATCGTTATTATTTACATTTTTACATGTTTCAATTATATGATTCAGTCAACTGGTGGATTCATTGCGGTTTCACGGTATGCAAGTGCAACCCCCTTGCCTCCATCTATTCTAAGCCGTGGTGTTGGTTGGCAGGTAATTATAATTCTTTTTAACTTTTAGTTAAAAATAATTATATTTTTTTTTACAAAAAGAAAAAAAAAAAAAAGACAAATATGTTTGTCTTTTCTTTTGTTGTTAGGGAATTGGCATTTTGTTGTCTGGCTTGTTTGGAACAGTAACCGGATCTTCTGTCTCTATGTAAGTGACAAATCTCAACTTTTTTTTTAGCTTCTAAATAAATCACTACTTTTATAAAAAAGTAAAATAAATGAAAAGTTTATGATTTGTTATTTGCAGTGAGAATGCGGGTCTATTGGCTGTGACCCGTGTAGGAAGTCGAAGAGTTGTACAAATCTCAGCAGGGTTCATGATTTTCTTTTCGGTTCTTGGTATTTTCTTTTCCAATTTTACCCTTTTGTATAATTTTAAAATTATCATATTCCTAAACTTTTGGAAACGATTGACAGGTAAATTTGGAGCAGTCTTTGCGTCAATTCCTGCACCAATTGTCGCTGCTCTTTACTGCCTTTTCTTCGCTTACGTGGGTAAGTTTACATAAAGTATCCAATCCGCTAACCTTTTATTAATTCATTAGAAGTAACTCCAAGGGCAATTATGTCTTTTCATGTTTCTACAGGTTCATCGGGTTTGAGTTTCCTTCAATTCTGCAACCTTAACAGCTTCCGCACAAAATTCATACTCGGGTTTTCAGTCTTTTTGGGCTTGTCTGTACCCCAATATTTCAACGAATACGAAGCCATTAATGGATATGGCCCTGTTCACACTTCAGGAAGATGGGTGCGTACATTAATAACCTAATTTTTTAGTAATTTTCCAAGATTTTTAGATATTATAAGAAAAAATTGAAATCTAGGAGACCCCACGAAAGAAAGTTTTGATCTTGGCCTATCTATACAATTATTGACCTCGATTTATGTTGTTTTTTTTGTAGTTTAACAAAATTGACCTCGATTTATGTTGGATCTATACAATAATTGACCTCGATTTATGTTTTTTTTTTTTTTTTTTTTTTTTTGTAGTTTAACAATATGGTGAATGTTCCATTTTCATCGGAAGCTTTTGTGGCTGGTGTTGTGGCGTATTTTCTTGATAATACACTTCACAAGGATAGTTCGATAAGAAAAGACAGGGGCAAACATTGGTGGGACAAGTTTAGATCGTTCCACACTGACTCAAGAAGTGAAGAGTTTTACTCATTGCCATTCAATCTCAACAAATACTTTCCAGCTGTGTGATTTATATAACTATTGTTTTTTTTTTAGTCAAATATGTATCTAATCTTTGTGCTAAAGTAGTTCATGTTCAATTTGTATCTCAACCGAGTGATTCTTAGAACATTCCCCAACACGGGTAAGATGGATCCAAAGGAGAAAGGTTAAGTTTTTGTTGCTTTCAAATTCTTACGAACATTGTCTCCCCACTTTTGTAATAGAAATCTTGATTCCTGAATATGTTCCGAGTTTTGAATATCTCATGCACTTGTAAACAATATTACGATTATTGATAAGAAACCTCTAGTATGGTTGTTGAAACATCGATGGTAACAATGAGCTACTTTAAATAGTTACTTGAAAATAACAATTTTGTATTATATTGAAAAACAAAGTCCTCAAAATGTAAAAGTTTAAAGAAAGTGTTAAGGCATATGAGTGTAACTACAATATGTTTAGTAGATACTTATCAATCGGGGAAAGAAACATTAAAGTGTAGGCATCTATATAAAATGTCATGACTATTATAGGTTTGTGAACCTAAGATTATACAAGCATTAACTTGTCAACCATTGGTTTATTGAACAAAAATCATACAAACATTGACTAGCCAAAACATAGGATCAATGGCCTGATCATATGTCATAACCTATCCTAAGTGGAAGCATAAAAACATGTTCAAAGTAAAGTTTCAAAGGAAATAGTTAATACTCATTTTCCAAAACTCATTTCAAACATATGATGTTCCAAATAAAAGAGAATTTAGGTACGCAAAATATAGTAATGACATGTATTAATGGGTAATGAATTCACATAAACTTGTTGCTATATACTTCACTTCCAATGTTGTTGGTTGTCTAGTTGTCACCTAAATATTGACATAACTCGAGTAATTACTAACTAACTGCATTCTAAAAATCTTGATCATAGTTCATGATCCTAAACATCTGATTTTAAACATTTCATGTCATCTTTAAGATCATGGAAAAAGAATGGAAGCAATTGGAGTAGACTAGGACTTTACAAAAAATTTAGTTTTCCAATCACATAGGTTTACTCGGTAGAGGGGAATTTTCTTTGTTATTTCACTCGGTCGAAATGTCAAATGGATTTTCTAGACAACACCACTTTGAGTTTTAACTGCCTTTAAGTTTCCCAAACTTGTCCAAATCAATTTTAACCCATTCTATTCCATTTCTAATGACCTTGTATCATTATCTAACGTTCATATACTTGTTTTAAACACTAATTAAAATCCTAACTTCATCACTAATTAACATCCTAACTTCATCACTAATCCAATGATTTCTTTGCTAGATAGAGCTTTAATGATTTATAGTTTCAAAAGTTTTATTAACTTTATTAGAAGTTGCAATAGCTTCTAAATAAGAAATTAGCTTAACTATGATTTAATGCTATAAACATGAACCATTTCACGTGGATAAGAGAATAAATAGGAATAAAAATAGGAAAATATTTAATTTCTCTTCAATTAAGAAAAACACAAATCATAACAAATCTAAAGCTAGAACATTTGTTGTTGGCTTTTTATAAAACCTTTCCATTTTTAAGACAAAGTTTATATATATATATATATATATATATATATATATATATATATATATATATATATATATATATATATATATATATATATATAATCACAATTATTTTATAAAATACAATATTTTATAAAACTTTTCTTTATTTTTATGAAAATTACTTAAATATTTTAATAAATAAATTTGAAATAATATCGCTTCAGATTAATGAAGAAAAACAACATCCGTACCTTAATAATATTTCTTCCCTTGAAGTCTTGCAATATGCATATAGACACAATGACACCTCTTTTCGATATCACACATGGTATCTATGCTCGACGTTTTGACGAAGACTCCTAAAGATTCAAAGAAACACCATAATTAGGGAAAATTTGTGAAATTGCCAAAAAAAAGAAAAGAAAAGGGGGGGGGGGGGGGGGGGTTGAAAAAAATGACAAAGAAAATAGAAGTTTCAAAAAATGACCATGATTTCCGCAGAGATGGTTTTTGCTGAACTCGTTCAGATCGGAGGAATTGGAAAAGCTCTAATGGAAGTGACGTGACAATGGTAATTTCGTAAAAGCACAAAGAAAACTTAACAAAATTGAAAGGGTGTATTGAAAAAAATTGTGTTTGAACTTACCAAAATCGAATAAATTGTATTTGAAATCCTTTGAAAAAATTGTGTTTGAAATTGAAAAAACTTACCAAAATCATTTTTTGGCCATGGTTATGCGAAGAACAAACCCTTTAAAAGGATCCTGTGAAGAATTACAATTGTTCAGAGGGTCCCTTTGAAGGGATTGTTCTTCGCATAACCATGATCAAAAAACGATTTTGATAAATGTTTTTTGTTACTTTAACAAGGTCTCACCATTTCCTACATGCCATTGATTCAATATAACAAATTAAACTATAAAACTACGTTTATAAGATAATTCTTCATAGCACCCTTTCAACTTTGTTATTCATTTTTTTTAATGAATTACCCCTGCCACGTCACTTCCTCAAAGCTGAAGGAGTTCCATAGAAACCCTTTCTGCATAACCCGTGGTCAATCTCTAAAACTTCTATTTTCTAGGTCATTTTTTTCCAACACACATTTTTTTGGTCATTTCACAAATTTTCCCGGTAACTAGTATAATGAAACTCATAAAAATATAAAAAAGGAAAGTAAAACCCTGAGTTCCCTTCAAAATCCCAAATAAGCCTAAATTGATCGGTTCATGTATGAAAAAGTAAATGATCTCCCACATCAATCTCTAAACTTATTCTTCTCATAACTTCATTTAGCTTCAAATTTATCTCTGTGATTCTAGGATGAAGCTTATCTGCAACAAGAAATTCATGTACAACACCATCAATCTCAATATAACTACAACCCGGGGTTGAAGTCGAATCACCCTCTTTATCACTCTTGGATTCTCTTATCTTTCTTACATTATCCCATTGGCCCAAAGATGCATACAAATTCGAAAGCAGAACATGCCCTCCACCATCTCTTCTTGTAACATGTTCAATAATCCTCTCTGCAAGACCTGCATTTCCATGGAGTCGACAAGCACTCAACAATGCTCTATAAATAACACCATCAGGTTCCATACCCATTTTCTTAACAGCTTTGAATGCATCTTCAAGTTCACCAGCGCGACTTAAAAGGTCTATCAAGCATCCAAAATGTTCAAGTTTGGGTGAAATCCCCCATAATCGCTCCATATTGTTGAAAATCAAGATTCCTTCTTTAACTTTCCCTGAATGGCTACATGCGTTAAGAACACTAACAAGGGTGATGTTATCAGGTTTGATGTTTTCTGCTAGCATTTCAGTGAACATCTGGAGTGCGTCTTTACCAAGTCCGTGCATAGATAATCCTGAAATCAAGCTTGTCCATGTCAGAAGGTCTCGTTTGTTTATTCCATTGAAAACCTGCTTTGCGTAATCTATTTTCCCACATTTTGCATACATATCGATTAGAGCAGTTGCGATGTTTGAGGTTTTTGGGACGCCATTTTTGTCTATGTAAAAATGGATCCATTTTCCTTGGTTTAGTTGACCAAGATGAGCGCAAGCTGAAAGGACGCTGACATAAATTGCTTCATTGGGCTCGACGTCACCATTAATCAACATCTCATTAAAGCATCTTAAAGCATGATTATACATCTTGTGGCCGACATAACCCGCGATCATTACTGCCCACGATACCTCGTTTCTTTCAGGCATTTTCGCAAACAGTTCTTCTGCTTGCGGTATCTTGCCACCCGTTGCATACCCTTTGACCAGACTCGTCCAGGTAACTGTATCTCGTCGAGACATTTCATCGAACACTTTCTGGGCAGATTCCGTTCTTGAATACACAACGTACATATTTACTAAAGCGTTGCCTACACAAACATCTGAATCATACCCAAGTTTAATTACCATTGTATGACAGTTTTGAGCAAAACCCAACAGTGTCCGATGGTGTGAACAAGCTGTAATGGTAAACGTAAAGGTGTAATCATCTGGAACTGCTAAAGAGTGGCACCCACCAAGCAGATGCATTTCTTTGAAAAGATGCAGTGATTCTTTGTTACGCGCCGTTTTCGAATAAGCTTGAATGATGAGATTCCATAAAAAAGTGGGTGGTAACGATGGGTATCTACTGAATACCTTCCTAGCGGATTTAAGTTCTCCATGATCACTGTATAATCGAATTAACGATCCAGTAAGATTATTGCTTTTAACTAATGATCTAAATATGACCTGGGCGTGAATTTTCTTAGTTTGCTTCAGTGATGGCCGTTGTTTTAACAGCTCATACAAACGAACCTTTGGTTGGCTCATGAGTTGTCACTTGTCAGAAAGGTGTTTGATGAAATGCGTTGGAGAAAAATATTCAATAAACCTATATCTAGCTCAAGGGTTGTCACGCATCACTTCATCTTTCAAAAAAAGTAGTGACAGATGAACAGATCCATATATATATATATAATAAAATCGAAGTAAAATTGAATGGAAATATAACAAGACAACAGAAAAAACCAATCAAAAGCCTCAAATAATCACAAGAAGTCAAGAACCACACATCCTTACAACCCCACACCAACTTTATTCAGTAATGACAAGTTATTCACTCAACACACGCAGTCAAAACTCAAAAAAGTTCAAATCTTGTAAATAATCTTCTTTGAACAACATAAGAAAAAACACAGACTTGCAAAAACTCTGCTCAAAATATAGTTTAACATTCAGAAACCCGATCTTGAATTTAATCTCAGATCATCAAACTTCGGTTGTGTTCTCAGTCACCCCATTGGGCACTCCATGATTTGGTTCATGTTGCTTGTCAAATTGACTGAAATTTCCCTTCGCCATGAAAAGCTGTGCATGGTGATGCTTGCAATAAAGCTGATGCTCATGAGCCACGTAGTTTGATGGACTTATATGACACCCTCCATAGCTACACTTGAAACATGCCTTGTGGTATGCATTTCCATCAACACCCACCTGAAAAAACATCATCAAGATTGTGAATCTTTAAAAAAGATTGAAACTTTATCGATTAATTTCAACTATTTCATGCGAATTCTTGTTTATTACTTTACCTTTTCAATTGGGTAGACGGTTTTCTTGCAAGAAACACATTTGTCTTGTGTTCCACCAAACATACTCGATACTTTACTGTTAGATTGCCCCTGAAAGTTTTCACATAACAAATATTAGCGTCACATCACTTTAAGAATCTATGCAACATGCTTCTTTTAACCCTTTTTTAAACAAACATAAAATGGGAAAAAAAAATGTAATTTTGTTACATTAAACGGTTAAAAGAAAGCATTTCCAATTATGGAGTACCTGATCAGAAGATCTATCAACTCTAACAGTTTTAGGGGTACCTGTTAAGACATGAAAAGTGATATCGCTTTATGTTTTTGTCATATGTGTAATTGGTTAATACTATTTTGTAATAGACTCAAAGCTGTACTTTTCTCTATATTAATACAAGATTCGACACCTTCTTCACTACAATTACTGTGTGTTCTTGCTTGTATTACAATCATAATTCCACATTTGGTCAATTATTTGGATCTAACAGAGTGAATTAGTAGCAAGATTCTGTTATTTTGTCATTATTGAAAGATGTTTATAACTTTTTGGTAAGTAATTAAGAGTAAAGGACTAAACTAACCTTCAAAACTCTTATCCAAACTGCCAGTCAATTTGAAGAGCTGATCGAAATGAGGTTGACAGTATAATACTCCTTCAAAAGAGCTGTAATTACTTAACTGCAATAAAAAATCGAAAGATATTACTTTTATAATGTGTGTGTTTTTTTTCATACGAAGGATGTCGTAATTACACAAAACCAAGATCATTAATAGCAAAACTATGAACTGAGTTTTCAATAAAACTCCATCAGATGAATCAATAAATTCGGTTTTAACTATTTAATATCACAAATAGCAAAAATATTCATTAAAACCAAAAAAAAGAATACTTAAATAGCTCATAAATCTTTATCAGATGAACCTAAACTTGAACACTGGTCATTTCAAATCAATAATCACAGTAAGCCAAGATCAAAAAAAGCGCAAAAGATTCAACAAAAGATAAACTTGTGTTACTTTAAATTAATGATCACAGAAAACCCGGATCAAAAATAAAAGACTCATTAAAACTAATAAACTCTCCTTCAATAATTAAAATCAACTTTGGTTACTTTAAATCAATAATCAAACAAAACCCAGATCAGAAAAGGTGCTAATTAACATATGCAATAAAACTCAAGAATCAGAAAGAGATATTAGAGCATAATTCTAACAAAAACAGATTAAATCGAAGTTGGGATCATGGTTTACTAAAATAAGAAGTCAAAAGAAAGATAAAAACCTTGAGGGTGCTTTTGCAATGGTGACATCGAAAACAAGCCCTGTGATAAACTTTATTATCAACAGTGAGTTCATCCACCAAGTAAACAGTCTTTTCACAAGCCTTACACTTTTGTGTTGTCCCTCCATAGGAAGCCATTTTTGATGATCTTTCTTTCAAAGATTCAACAGATTTCAACACCCAACAGCGATCGAATCAAGCAACCCAAAAAGCAAACGGAAATCTGTGATCAATCAAGAAAAGGAGAACACTTGTTTGTGTGTGTATGTGTATGTGTGTGTGTGTGTGTGTGTGTGTTGGTGGAGTCTAATAAGAGGGCCGTGGGTTTACAACAAGATCGTCGGGGGGAGTCAAACACTGTTCTGTAGCTGTCAATTGTGGGGTCATCTTGGTAATTAGGCCAGGAGATGGGGCTGATTATTAGGTGGAATTTGTGCGAGATTACCGTATTGCCCTTTCGACTTTTGAGTTTTTAGGAGGGAAGACATGTCCTCCTTCCAACCAAAAAGTTCTGCGTTTAACAAAAGCAATCCAGATTCGGATGTTCAAACTTCAGAGTGTTCTCACGGTAAATACAAAATAATACTCCTATATTTATGAGTAAATTACAGTTTTGGTCCCTTTTGTTTACATTAATCTGCGGTTTTAGTCTAATTCTGAATTTTTGACATGACTTGTGATTTCCAAAAGTTATATGCGTTCTTGTGGTCCCCAAGATTCACTACGTGAATTCTCATATGTTTAATGCGTGTAAGACCTCTTTATTTTTATTTTATTTGGTTATATTGACATTATTAGTGGTGCGTTTTTAGTATTAAAATCAATCCATAATCGAAATCGGTCCCATAATTGAACTGTTTGTATGTATATTGTCCGGTACTTGTTCTTGGATTTCAAGCAATTTGATATTCAGTATAACCGGTAACGGTAACAAGAAAAGTCTTGTTTCCTCTCGTTAATACAAGAAACCAACTAGTTATAAGTATGAAGATATAAAAATTTCTTTATGTACATGCTACTCTTGATCTCCATGTTTAAACCAAAATAAGTAATCGTTACCATTTTAAAATCAAATCAACATTATAAATTAAGATATAAAAATCATCTTCAAGTACTTGAAGAATGGATCGATTTGTGTCTCTGTTGTTCTTTTGTTTTGCGTATTATAGTTGAAGCAAGAATAATGGAAGCAACTAAAGCAAGTCGCATAAGATTTTATTTCCCGTCATGCAATCTTGTGTCTATTTTTTTATATTTTTTTATCATGACTGAATTCACGTAAGGATGATATATTATTAGGCCTTTATTCTTTGCTGTTAGGGCTTTTTTTTATTTATAAGTTCATGTTAGAGATCATCTTTATCTTCAAGTAAGAGAGCATCTTCACATGTAATTGTTTACAATCATGCCTCTTTTATTTCGTATACAAGTGTTTAGGTCATTCAAATTTGATTATATTGATACATGTTTGTATGATAGATTACTTAGTTGTTATTATAATTAATTAGAATTGCTAGAATCATGTGTAATAATGATATGTGTTTTGGTAAAGTTTAGGGACCTAAAGTTAAACTTTACATAACTATACTTTAGTTAGTAAAGTTTTAGTTTTGGTACCTAAACTTTCGAAGGTTATTGACTCCTAACCAATTTCCTTTTTTTTTTTTTTATTTTTTTTTTATTATTTTTTTTTATTTATAACACTATATATACTTTTAGAAAGTTGTTATTTTGGTCTCTTAACTTTTAAAACTTGAAGTTCCTACCCATTCCCATCTTTTGTAACATTCTAGGTATTTTTAGAAACTTTTTTGTCCCTAAACATTCCAAAGTTGCGGTTTCCTACCCAAATCCCGTTTTTTTTTTTCAATAACATTGCAATACTTTAATAAAGTACAAACAACCCCCAAAGTTAATTGTTTCATACTTTACTCGTTTAATTAATATACTTAACTACTTAAGTCGTTGTATTATTTAATGACATTTAATGTCACTTAATTAATTTAAATGTCAAATAAATATTTTTAATTAAATTGAATTAATATTTAGATTTTTTTTTGAAACCGCCGAGATTTTATAAATAAAACCCTCGCAAGTAAGAAACTAAACGAGGGTCAAGGAAAATACATAGAAATACAATTCAAGAAGTATCAAAAGGACATACATTCCAATCTTCCCAACTACAACTTCCGCCATTACCCCTACACTTGATCCACAAGTAGGCTAGTGATTTTGTGTTCTCGGCCGCTGTTGTAGGATTACTTGCATATCTCGGAAATAGTCTTTTATTCCTTAATTTCCACAGGACCCATAACATACCATAGCAAATTGCAATGAACCTCTATCTTTGTTTTGAGCCTTTACCCCACTTAGCTGCAAAATCCATAGCTCCCCCACATTTTGACCTTCCCAAGAGTCAATCTTACACCACTTGAGAATTTTATCACGCACCAAACAAGCGAATGGACAGCGAATAAATATGTGATCAACATCTTCCATTTGGTTGATACATGAACCGCAGTACATGGAATCAATCGGGATGTTCCTTTGAATAAGTGCCATGGCAGAAGGAATACGCCCCTGAACTGCTCTCCACACAAAACCTAACACCTTTATAGGTATTAACTTACACCAATTGATCTTAATACAACCAAAATTAATCGATTGATTATTATCAATCATATGCCTGAGAATCGAGACTTTATATTTGCTGGATTAGTGTCTAAGTCCATAACTATTTTGGTATGTACTTGACCCGATTATGAGCATGGTCCTTTTGGGTTGCCTTCACCATAGCAATATGTAGGATGATTTAAGGAGAGAAAGGTTTAAATATGATTTATTAATATATTATGAGAATAATATATTAAAGGAGAAATCATATTGTTTAATTAATATTAGTCAAGAATTAATTGATAATTAATTTTTGTGGCTAAAAGAGATTAATTAAATTCAGGGGACTGGACTGCAATTATTGGATAATTGAGTTATTGGGCTAAGGAATACTAAAGGAATAAGGGGTGAACGAAATTATGATGGAAGCCCATCATATTTTCGTCCATAGCCTTATCCAGAAGGTTCCATGGGCTGCTTAGAGTTTAAGCTGTCCATTAGGGTTTTGACTGAAACCCTAGCAGCCCACACAAGTATATAAAGGACCCCTTAGGCTCCAAAAACGTGGACAACTAATTCTCTAGGGTTTCTAGTCGTTTTTGGGCAGCCTCTCTTCTTCTCCTCTTCATCCAAGTTGCATATGGTGTTTGTGACTCCATTAGAGGTGCAACACTTGAGGCACTAAGCTTTTGAAGCCAATCCAAGCAAGGAATTGATTGTTATTGCTATATAACAATCAAAGGTAATTATATAAACCCTAATTCAGTTCATAATATGTTAGATCTAAGTTTATTAGTCTTGGATTCAAAGCATGTACAATAGAGAAACCTAGATCCAAGCATTAGGGTTTGTATGAGCACATAGGATTGTTCTTATGCTAAAAACCCATCAGTGGTATCAGAGCCTTGATTGGTTTCTGTTGTATGTGATGCTATGTTGAATTATTTACTGAAAATCGAGTTTCTTGCCTCTGCTCGACTCAACTCGGCGAGTCAGTATCTGGACTCGGCGAGTTGGCCCTACTCGGCGAGTCCAGGTCTGACTCGGCGAGTCAGTGCGTCAGGCAGAGGGTATTTCGGGATTTAGCTGCTGTTTTGACTTGGATTTGATGCTTAAATTGTTTTATGAAGTTAAAATCCGAATTTTATCTTAATTATATGTTTATCCTTGCCAAAACAATAGATAATTTCAAATATTTTAAATATTGGTTGTTTATGTGATAAATATGGATTATTTAAAGTTATTTGGTAATTATCTAATGACTAAAATAAGATTAGGTCAAATATAGATAATTATGAAATTAATTGTTTAATTTGAATTATTTGTTGTTTGATCCCTAATGTTTTGAAATGTTTCAAAACTTGCCCTCAAGTTTAGGAATTTAAAATTTTGATTAAAAGTTTAATTTTGAAATGTTAAATTCTAAAACCCTAGTAATTTGAAAAGTTCAAATCACACCCTTATGGTTTTATTAATTAATTAAAGTGTATAATTAAAAGTGATTTAATAAACCCATAAAGTTTTGGTTCACATTTAATTAAATTAAAAGCATAATTTACTAAGTTAAACCACCTAGTATTTTAAAAGTGTAAAATACACCCTATACTATATATAACATTAAAAGTCTAATATTATATATATGTATGAGTAAACAGTCAGTCTTACCGTTAGTAGGCCTCATTCACGAAGCTGGTCTATAAGGGGTGTTTAAGGAAATTGCCTATAAAATGGCGATTGAATGGGTATCCACTCTTACCCACCGCACTCTTGACTAGTGGAGGGTCGTTAGCCGAACGGGTAGGATAGGACAGAAACCTTCCATTATAAGTATAATGAAGTACAAAGTAACTAAATGCTTTTACAAATTCCCAAATCATAGTTACTTTAGGAAAAATGTGAAATTGTATGCTAACCCATGGAATTACACTTCGTACCCTTGTCAAACGTTAGTGGAGCGTGTGTGGTTAACCGGCACACTAATTTGGGGATGACATTGGTGGCGAAGGGTGGCTCGATGCTTATCATAGATCAATGGAGCGTGTGTGGCTAACCGGCACATTGATTAGGTGATAGTAGCATTGGGCGCACCACGTGATTCGTATGGTTATTCACACCTTGTTTGTGATCCTCGGCATCCCAGTCACAAATAGTAGGGCATAATCGAGATTAAACATGCCATTGAAAAGTTCAATGAATCTCAAAAGATCTAGGAGTTTCATTCATTTAAAACTTAAACTTCTTTTTCGTTTTTCATGGTGGAAATTGGTAAATCGTCATTTACCTACCTTCAGATATTCTGCAACTAGATTACGGCATCCCTCTTCTAGGTTGTAGAGTATTGTGTTGGATCCTAGCTTGATGTTTCATTTGGGTGTTACATCAAGAATTCTAATCAACATAACTTGAATTTTCTCCCGTTTTGTAGATGTCTGAATCTTACAATGGTCTTCCCAAATCCTTTGGAATAAGCTTTCCAAATGAAGATGATGTTCCGAGATACGATCAAGGAAATGAGAGTCACGCTTTACTTCCTCCACCTCCTCCAATTATTCTCCCTGACCCACAAGTTCAAAGGCTTGAAAAGTTCAAGCTCACTCAATACCTTTTGGCGAGTAAACACGAAGATGGGAAACCTGTGTGTGCACACGTCTTAGAGATGAAGTCACACATTGATAGGTTAAGCATGTTGGGTGTCGAGATTTCAAGCGAGTTGGCTGTTGACTGGGTTCTTCAGTCACTTCCTAAATCATATAGTGAGTTCGTTAGAGAGTACTATATGATGGACCACGACGTGACCCTAATTGATCTCACCTATTTGCTTATAGCTGCTGAATCAGCAATGATTTGGCGTGCTGGTCAAGCAAATTTGTCTAGTGAATCAAACTCCCAAACTTTAATGGACACTGGCAACATTGGAAGTCCAGAAAGAACTAAGTCTGTGATTGTCCGATGTGCTGTGCCAAAGGAGTCCATTTGCTTTTATTGCCAAGAGAAGGGGCATTGGAGACGAAGCTGCCCTAACTACCTGAAAGATCTAAGAGATGGGAGAGTCAAGACGTATGGCTCTACTACAGGTAAGATCCATTATCTAACTCTTTTGAGTTCCTATTCTAGATTCTTAATACATGATGTGATAAGATTACATTTTGATGTTTTGTAGGATCGAAGAAAAGAGAGGAAGCTTGAGAAAAGAAGTGAGCTGAATCTAATCATGAAGAAATGGATTTCGATCGCATTACTTGAAGAATGGATTCTTGAGCTACTACTTGGAGTTAGAATAGATTGTTAAGAAATATGTAATAACATAGTTTTTTCAATTGAATTGCATTGTAAGGACAAATTTTTTTCCGCAATAAAATGAATTTTGATTTTATCTTATTTATTTATCCTTGCAATGGCATGTATGAAAAATTGATGTTTGAAGGTTTCTATTATTAGCAATAATGGATTTGATTCTTAATTATATTATTTGTGGAAATATCAAAAGTTTACCATATAGGGAGAGTTTCTCATCACCCAAGTTTCAATTGGCAGAAACTTGGAATCATGCAATGTGTATTGTATGATGAATGAAAAACTTTCACGTTTGGGAAACT